TAATCAAATCAAACCTGCATTACCTGTTCGTGAAGACGACCCAAATGCAGCGAGGCAAGAAGATTTGAAGATTTAATGGAAACATAAGAACAAAAAAACACATGGGAGCCAGAGGAGAACATAAAATCTACATAAACAAACAAAAACACAAAGAGCAAGATCGGGAAAACAGGATCAAACGAGATTTAACAGAAAGAGTAAGAGAGGCAGATGTTTGTAAATAGGAAATAATCTAGTAGTAAAGAATGTGTAAATATGAGGAACATAAAAATTGTTCATCTCTGGTGTTTGGTTGATAACACACAAATGTTTTAGTTTTTCAGTAATACCACACAGTATCTGAAAAAGGTCTAAAAAAAAAAGAGAAAAAAAGAAAGATTTCATACGTCTGATTTTCACCCGGGCTTCTCAGTCGGCTACAAACTTGTGTCTGGTCTCAGAGTGGGCAACAAGTGTCCCTTTCTTCCAGCCGCTTACAAAGAGGCGCATTCATTAAACCAAGAAAGACAGAGCCGAGTGAGGCAGAGAGGGAAAGAAAAACACACACAGACAAACACAGAAGACGAGATGATCACACTTGCTCTGTTTTCCTAAGCGGAGACGAATCAACAAACCGAGAGCAGAATGAGCTCTGTGTGAGTCAACGCCACGGGGGGAGTTAACGGGGAACGCCGTGCGGCGTGTGTCATCACCCGTCACAAATGCAAAAAGCACAAACTGCTCTGACGTTGTCATCGGTCCGAGAGGTGAGGTCGGGGTTTGTGTTTTGCGCCTATACGTCATGAGGAACCCGAGCTTCAGTGAACAAAGCGGCGGCGCCGGGCCCCGGCTCGCTTCTGGGTCAGCGGCTAAAAGACACTGGAGCTTTCCGTCTCCGTGAAGAGACTGGCAAACCGGCTGGAGCCCCGGATTCAAACGCTCCCGCAGGCCGACCGGGGAAGAGATTACCGTCCAGATATGGCAACTGACCGAAAGGGGAAGTGGAAATAAAACAACTTTTGAAGCCATCCAGCGAGAGGGGTTCTTATTCCTCCCTGGTACCCCTCCCTACCGCCTCTGAGTTCACATTGGGGCAGGGTCGAGCGCTATCAGTCCTGCATACCAAAAAGCATTCCGGAGGTACGGCACGTCAGAGTTACGAAGGACGAAGGAGATGATGAAAGCGAGGAGTGAACCGTGATTCACGGGGAGGGAGATTTACCCGGGCAAGGAGAGGATCCATCTACCCACCGAGTGGAATCCACAACAAACAGAAGATGTGAGCAAAGAGCCAAAACACCAGCAGAGAGACAGGAAGGCCCAGACAAACGCAACAGACCAGAGATGTTCTGGTCTGGAGAGAAGTCTTTACTGCGGCTCTCCTTCAAAATGTCCCCAGAATAATTAAGGGTTGTTTCCGTCTCGTAAGGCAAAGGGAGAGAGAAAAGAAAACACAAATGTCAAGAGAACAGATTAATTAGAGACTTTGCAGAGATGCTAATACAGCTGCCGCTGTTACCTTGCTGGTGTCTGTTGACTTGTTAACAAAAAGTACATGTTGTCTCTGCAAGCTTCCGTCTGGTTAAATCTCATTACGAATGAGGGGCTTGCAAGCAAATGAAGCGCGGCGCAGACAGAGTGAGTCATTACTTTTTTTTTTTCTTTGTATCCGAGATGTTTTGATTTTCACTGATTAAGAAACCGAGTCGATGCTTATCTAGGCCGGATTGCCAAATCCTGTGCAGGACAGAACCAAACCAAACAAGAAAAGACACAATCACAACATAACATTGGGTCTGCTGTGACTTTGGCGAACTATATTTAATCAAAAGTATTTTGGATTTAATTTCTGAAAGACTCATAAACGTCATTGACGTCCTCTGATGCTCTCTCCGGCGGAGGGTTACTCGGCGCGTTAACACGGTCTGCTGCGGTCAGGAGCGCAGAGTTGCAAACTAGAGCGAAAATATGAGTGGAGTCAGAACTGGAGAGCGCAGCGGTAAATTTCACTTTAAAAAACACAGCGGTTAGAGCGGGCGACCCGGAAACAGAGGCTAAAGACGTCCAAATCCTGTCCTCGGTTCCTCCGCCGCGCAGCGTTCCCACATTTCCTCTGCCCCATCCGGTCCAATTAGTGTCAAGTCAAATTCTTACAATAATTTCAATCTGGAAAATGCAATATTTCCAGATTGCATTTGAAACAAAACAACTTTCCCAAACATAAAAACCTGGGAAGCTGAAATGTTGGGTTTGAGACACTAAAATATTTTCTTGAACTTTTTTTGAGTCCGTTCATTTTTACATTTCAAGCTAACAAAGTTAATGACCTACATTTATTCAGTGGATCAACAGGATTCATTTTCTTCTATAGTGTCAAAAAAGTTTGATAAATTCAGACACTGACTGGATTTGACTAGAATAAACGAAGGAGAAGCGAGTTTGAAATGTGCTGAAATACACGGCGTCTGCGTATTTAATGGCACCATGAAGCAGCTTTAGGTTCTTCACACCTCACTGGCTTCTGGAGGCGCCGCGGAGGGCGGCGCAGCGACACACCGTCAGCAGTCTCTCCGCCCAGCTTCTTCTCTCAACCCCCCCCCAAAGAAAAACAAAAACAAAAAAAGGAGGTGCACGGTCAACTTTGTTACTTCATATGGCTGTTTGAGCAGAGGATTTATAGGAAACCGAACAGAAACAGAGTTGCCTGAGACTCACAGGGTTTTATTTTCACTGTAGCCTATAAACAGCAACACGACCTTCCTCTGATGACACGAGAAGTTTCCGAAAATAATGCTGCTGAGCACGCTGCGGCTTTGGTTCTGGAACCAGCAACGTTCACAACCGTTTTAAGGAAAAGACCTTCAGTGAGAATGATGCCACAAAATAATTCACTTCTTTTATCTGCAATTATCTCTCAATAAATAAGAGTATAAGCTCAATATTCGTGTTTTGACAGTAATTCTTTTCAAAAATGTCAAATAGATCCTGATAACTTTGGTAACAATTGGTTTGTAGCTAATGGAAAATTCATTAGGAGCAAAACCAAAATGATTTTTTTTTATTGAAATGATATATTATGGATTACATAACTATGAAGACTGTTGCCTGGGTTTGTACATAAACCAGAAAACCTACGTAAGTTCTGTTTTTTTATATGCAGCATTGTTTGATACAAACTTTAATAGACATCTTCCCAATCAGACGGTTGCATTTCTCTGTTAAATATGTTTTGTTTTTTCCTGTCTTCTCAGTTATTCAGCCTTGCTTTAGAAACTGAATTTTTTCTTTTGTGTTCACTGCAACCTGCATCCATCAAAACCAGGAGGAATAAATGATCAACATGTGTGTAATGACTCCACACTTTACACAAGCGTCGCTTTCTGAATCGAGTCACTGGAACAAATTATCTTTTTTGTTTGTTTGTATGTTTTCTTTATAAACTCATTGAGTTGTACTCGTACATTTTATTGGCCGGAAATCACCCGCAGCAAGTGCGGCGCGTCCAATAAATCGACCTTCGCTCCAGCCCGACTTGTGTGAGAAGAAGAGGGATTTCTCTATATGAACATTTGCGTTAAATAAAACATGACTATTCTGCCCAAACGGCTCGCAGCGGAGCCGCCTGACAGTTTCAGGAGAGAAGAGTCGGTGTGCAGTGCGCCTGCAGGCGTTCCCCCCCAGAAGGAGCCACGCTGGGACGAAATCTAAACACCAAATCTTCTGCGTCTGCAAGCCTTCTCCCTGTTTGTGGGCGGCGCATTAGACACGGAGTCTGTTTGCTCTGCAAAAAAACGTTGCCACGGTTTATTCGACGGCATGAAAACCGGTCCGCGGAGCTAATCTCGCAAAGATAACCGAGGAAATGCCGTCTGGTGAATCTTTCAAACGTTTCTGAACCCGCATCAAACGAAGCAGCAAAACTATTTTTATCCAATTACTTATTTCTTGTCACCTTCACTGTAATTTATTGGAATTTTATATGAGATGTAACTGCAACAGAAGGTGGATCTAGAGTGTTTTGATCAACTACTTTTCAAATGTTTAATTTTTGGGAAAATTGAACAAGCAAGTACTATTTGTTCTTTCACTTCTCACTCATGGATTACTATGTCTTTCTCTGTCACATGAAATATATTAAAATTTGCACCAATCCAAGTTTTTTTTCGCTTCCCATGCCGACGTTTGAGGCTGAGTATCGGCCGATACCGATCCGATACAGAAAAGGTGCTAAATGGACTAAAGGTTTTTTTTGTTTTTTGTTTTTTTAATGCAGACGTACATGTACTGAATTACAAATGTATGTGATAACGCTGGACCAATACAGCATATTCAGCTTTACAAGCTTCCCTGATGTCGACAACCAAACGTGTAAAAACAGTTCATAAAGTGACAAAAACAATAGGCTGACTATCTTGGTCAAACGTCAATAAATAAACTGTAACAAAACCTTCTTTCAAATGAAGTGAAAATGAAGTGAAAACAAGAATCCTAATTATGATGCAAAACAAATCATGGAGAACGATGAGAGCATAGCACAGAATTCGATTGAATAGATCTGCTCTTTTGACTCTGGCTCAGTCACCAATACCTGATCCAGAGATTTTTTTCTTTCAATATCAGGACCAATACAGACATTGATATCGGATCGGTGTGTATCCTGTTGTAACGCGTCAGAATGTGAACCAGTTCAACGCCGATGAATACGTCTGCATTTCGCTGTCTAGAAGGTTAAAGGTGAGGGAATCTTTTAATTCACCTTCAAAAAAACATTCACTGAAGGCTAAAAGCAACGACGTCGTTGAAGACTTTCCCTTTGTAAACATGACACTCCCAGGAGGCTGATTGATGCAACAAACCGGAGTTTGTCACCTATTATGTAACGAAACAATATCTCATGAACAATCAGTCATTAGTTTCCTCCACGTTCCTAACTACTCTAATGGTTTTCTAAGACATGAAAGCGTGATGCGTTCCCATGGCTGCCCGTACTGTGTGGTCCCCACACCCTGCTGGAGTCTCACCTTCTCTGGAGTTTTGGTCTTGTTGTTGTTGTTGTGCGACGCCAGTATGACGTCTTCGTGGACGCGGTCCAACAGCCACAGGAGGAATTCCAGGGCGTCATGCTGGGAGTTGCCACGAAACTGGGATCCGTACTTGGACACGACCGTCTGGGGGGGAGAAAGTGAGGCATGAGGACGCTGAAAACTTTGTGTAAATCTCATGAACTGCAGTGCGACTGTGACAGTGTGGCAGCTTCTTGCTGAATTTATTTTCCCCCAGCTTTAGGGTTATGCCTGCAGGAGGACAAATGCTCAAACAAATGACCTTTTTAAAGTGAATATAAACCTCAAGTTTCTTTTCGTTTGGTCATTTTACACAAAATTGGACACAAATGCCAAAGGCGGTAAAGTTAAAACAAACTAGTGCAAGGTTTTTAAGGTGAGGGTGCATTTATAAAACAAATGTCCCCAACTTAGAACATCTCATGAAGAACTAATGGAACAACTGAACAGTCACTGGGAAATGGCCGTCAACCACAACATACCAACCAACCAAGGAGAGTTTCAACCATATGTCCAGCTCTGGAGGAGCTGCAGAGACAAACAGCTCAATAAGCTCGTCTTTGAAGAGTGGCAAGAAGAAAGCCGTTGCTTTAACATTTGGTTCAACATCCCGACTTAAGCAAACAGCAGAAGCGCGGCGCTGAAAACAGAGGAGGCTTCAATGAAACAAACGGGAGATAAAAATTCAGTCACATTCGCATCTAATTGAAAGCGAAGGCCGAACGCCATCTTTGAAGCGTCGCCAAGACGCAGATAAACTCCAGCAGGAGCGATAAGGTGTCCTTATCACTCACACCCATCTTCTGATACCGACTTAAAAGGCTAGCTTCCCTCGCTTGATATGCCTCGTGGACGTGAAAACGCCGTCAATCTGGACAATGTTTCAGAGACACGTCAGTCGGAAAATATGAAAAGGTGATATTCAGAGCTGTTAGTCATGGCTCTGCGGAGATAAAACCACTTCTGTTATCGCAGCTCTGACAGAGCCGGGCTGCTCTCTGCTTTAGAGGTGCACCGCAGTTTTTATCGTTTGACAATGTTAGAAATTCTTCCCACCCCTTTAGGATTCCTGTGGTTTACATTTATTTTAATTTGATGCAGAGGAAAGGGAAGTATTTCTTCAATCACATGTTTCACATTCCTATTTGGAATATGAATCAGCTGTGCATGATGCCGTAAAGTTTTATTAAAAATTTTTTTTTTGCACATTTCTTGAAGCTGTTATGTTGTAACAGTATATCATTAAGCAAATAATCTGTGAGGAAAAAAAAATCAAGCTCCTTCGCCTTCTTCCAGTGCTAACTAGAAACAACCAATCACAACCAGGAGGCGGGTCTTAGCGCTGTCATTCACCCTCTGCTCATGCTAATCAGCATGGCTACATATGATTCTCCTGTAAAGGTAAGTTGTTTTTCCACCATGAGCACATTTAGCAGAGAAAATGTGAGATTGATTGACAGCGCTAAGCCCCTCCTCCTGGCTCTGATTCGTTGAAGCCCAGTGCTTCTCTGGTATTTGAACCATTCTGAGTTTTACTCGTTGGTTCTTTGGTGCTCTGACAGTTTTCTCGGCGGCCTGTATTAAACTCGTGTTGATATTTGGTCGTTTCCAATCATCGACCCCCTCCAGTAACTCAGCCCACGCTCCCCTTCAGCTCCTCCGCATTCAGTTAATTAGTCTCGCCTATCCTTTGTGGCGGTAATTACTCCCTCCTCTAGCGTTCAGCGGATTCCCAGAATCAGCGGGAATTCGGGGGCCACAGCTGGCTGCTAATTCCTGAAACCCCTGACTTGAAGCCCCCACCCTCTGAAAAAAAAAAAAACACTTAAAATTGCCCATGTTTATATAGAAGAAGTTGAAGAAGCAAACAGACCTCAATATGGATCGATAATCGCTGTCGAAAGCGTCTCAGCACAACGTTTCTGGGATTAAAGGACTAATGTTGCAGCACCATCTATAGTAACTCATCCATGTGATTATCTTCAGTCGCTTTGATTACTGCTACAGTGTCTTAAAAAATAACAACAAAATTCAACCAGACAGCTGCAGCTGATCCAGAGTGAAACCAGTGAGAGCAATATATTTGTTTGATGATGTGTATTGATGGCTTCATAATTGGTTACTGTACTTTGAACTTCCTTGTTGCTGAAATGTGCTTTACAAATAAACCTGCCTTGCTATGAGATCTGCAGGCCAAAGAAAAACCCGATTCCGCTTCTGCCACCAGTGCACGACGCAGTAATTGAGTCTGGGTATTTCTGCTCCTCAAGTTGCATTTTCTTCCAGTATTTCGGATACGCTGTGTGAAAAATAAACAAAATCTGTCAATAGCCGAATTTTCCGGAAAACAATCTGTAGTTCTGTTGCACAGAAAAGTTTGAGGATACGGTCACTGTTTTAAAACCTCACTGTGATTCAAATTCACAAATAACTTTAGCTGATATTTTTTCTGTTTTTCTTTTTCTTTTTTCTTACAGACTTAAATTGCTGTTTTGAGACTATAATTGAACAAAAACGTCTTATAATCTCATCTGGCTTTTCAAATTTTGGGTGTAAGTGCAAACGCTTCACCCTGACAAACACTGTGAGCCAGCCTCTGGTTGAAGCCATGACACACTCAGCCTTGTTGTGATAGAGCCTGCAGGCCGTGATCTGAGCTCACCTGCAGTCAGTCATTACAGCGGAGCAATAACAGTGATTACCATCAGCTCCTGGAAGGTGCCGATTGTTTGAGCGATATAATTACGGCGGAGGAAAAGCCAATGAGTGTTTTATTACCGTCTGAGGCAGAACGATCACTCTGTAATGCCTGCAACCATTTAGCACAAGTCGGAGAAGAAAAGAGGCTTTTTCATATATATATGTACATATATATATAAGCATTAAGTATTTAAATCAGCTACCAGCAACTGGATGAGTGCAGAACTGTTAACTTTGCTTTTATGCTCACCCACCTGCTTAAATAGTCATGACATTTTGTTTAGTCATCACTTATTTTCACTTGCTAACTAGATGCCAAGTGCAAAGTGTACGGTTAGCTTACCAAAGGATTGTTTTAAAATAATAATAGATAACTGGTTTGAAACCGGGTCACTCAAAAGAGAAGCTGAAGATACAGGTGGAAAAACAACAATGCCGGGATTACTACTAGACGGCATATTTTTGAATTTGACAGGATGAAGACATTTCAGTTCCTCTGGGTGAGCAGCGCTGCTCCCCACACTGACCACCTTCATCTGAACGGCTGAAACAAAAGTGAAGCAGTTTTTTTTTTTTGTTGTTTTTTTTGCGTTTGCCACAAGAGACGTAAAAGTTTGTCATTCTTCTGACAGCTTGTGAAAAGCTTTGAGGCGTGGGAGTGCTTCAGCAAAGCGCCGCAGTAACGCCGCGGGACCGAACACTTGTTTAAGCTGCCTTCCACCTGTGTTTTCCTTAATGCCTTGAGGTTCTGGAATGCGGCGAGGATAATAAGGATTTTTATTTTTCCTCAGCAGGAGACACAAGTTTGGAGGAGGCCCAAGTGAGGAACTACAGACGAGAGCGAGGCGATTCTACACTTTACATACAGTCAAGTCAGTGAAATCCTGAAGAAAGAGAGAGAGAGAAAAAACTTGAATTAAGAGAAGCGGTAAAACATCCAGCGCCTTTTTCTTCTTTTCATTTTTTTTTTTCCCACGCTTCCAGGTCGAACTAGATCCTCAGTGAGTTAATCCGGCTGCTTTAGCTGAGCCTTTCCCAACCTCTGATGGACGAAACGCGTGACTCCCGGAGGACTCCGTCGTCCTAACGGAGTCAACAAATTAATAGACTAATTGAAACACACGCCAATCTCCTATTTGTAGAGCAATTCAAAAGCTTTGCGCCGGTTTAAGTTCCTGCTAATTTAGCCTCTCAAACTCAAGCCTTGGAGCTATCTGATCATTTTATAATCCTTCCTGCAGGCAGCTGCGGTATTACTCAACAGGCAATTTCTGAAAACTCAGGCAGCACTAACTGGGGCCCCTCAACAATGCCAAGAAGAACAACAGTCTGCTTGTTCGTGTGTGTGTGTGTGTGTGTGCCTGTGTGTGTGTGCGTGTGTGTGTGTGTGCGCATTACTGCAGGAAACATCTTATAAAGAGAAAAGCTCAGTGTTTTTGTTTGGACCGATTGGTTAATCTCAGTACGGTTCCCTTTGACTGCAGTGCTGAAGTGGATTGTGCAAGAAAAGAAGAAGAAGGTTAAGATTCGTTTGGCAGCAGGAGGTCAGACTGGTAAACTGAAGATGGCAAAAGAGCAACTTTTAGAGGGAAAACTGTATCAATTCAAATCGATTTTGCCTTTGATACCCTGACTCACCTTTGGTTGCCCTATCAGCTGAAATGTGATGTAATAATTCTTGCGTAACCGGGATAAGTACGAGAGAGAAAGCTCAGCACAAACGGTCAAATCACTCCCGGCGCCTACTCTTACGGGGTAATTAGCATCTCCAAGAATAAATCCATTGTTCATTTCTTTGTTCGCCCCACATTATCTACTTCTCGCCTTGAACTGGAGCTCCGAGTAAATCCAGGGCAAAACCAATCCCCTGGCTCGAGGAAGCACAGAACGATCTACGTGGGGACGCAAAGTTATCAAAATACTCCATCAGCTCTTGGAGCGGAACTTTCCGCAGACGGCTAAAGTTTGAAGTCGGGGTTCTAACGTGTGAGTCTGCGACCCGCTGACCTCGTGGTCCCAGACTGCTGCGACTCTGAGCAGAAGCCTCATTATCACCTGGCGGGGGTAAGGGCTCTCAAGTCACAGGCCGGCGCACTGCGGCAGGCGAATAGGTGCTATGCTATTATCCGAAACGCCTCGTGACAATGAAATAAGTCAGCAGCCCCCCCGCTGGGCAGCATCCTGCCTTAATAACGTGTGATTATGTCTGACTGAGCAGAGAGCAGCTGTACTTAGAGGTAGAGTGAAGCCATTCATCCTCCAGCAGGTGTTTGGTTAATGACGGCCACTGAGACTCTCCTTGTCGTTTCATTACCAGCTAATTATCACCTCTCTGCCCGCCATCAACACTTCTCCCCCCTCCCCCCCACCCCCGAACTGCCCCTTTGTCGAAATAAGAGCCGATGCTTAATTTAATTGAAGTTATAAATACAGATGTTTGGTGAAACTCTCAAGAGCAGCCTTTTCGTTTTGCCTCTCTTTCTCCTGCTGGTTGAATTCAAAATCTTCATGACATCAAGTTGTAAAAGTTGCACTTACAGGAGTACAATTCTTTTCAGTGTGTGTACCGTCGTTCACGATTACTTGATAACTGATGATAAAGAATTTGAAACTATGCCATTCTTGGTAGAACATATTTACAAACAAATTGTTTTTTTTTCCATCTTAATTACAAAATGTGATTTTTTTTTTGTTGTAGTTTTCGGCTTAAATATCGCTCATAATAAGTTTTTCTTTCATAAAATGACTTCTTTTAAGTCTGCACTGCAGCTCACAACTGGTCGATCACTAAATTTGTTGACGATTATTTTAATAATCTATTCATCACAATTAGTTGTTTTTGCCCTGTTCTGCTATGGTTTTGGGCTTTTATGGAGATACAGTATGAAAAGAAATATGAAAACTACTGGAATCTGTCTTTTCAAAAAAAGCTTTTTAATCATCCCGCGGTTTTAAGAGTCGGGTCCGTATGTTTTTTCATCCTGTGCGCAGCCCAGGGGTGGTTGGACTGACCTCGTGCGCTTTTCTGAGTTTTTTTTTGTGTGTGTGTGATTTCGGGAACTGATTGTCTGATGGGACAACGCTGCCACTGCCTCCCTGATGTCTGACCGTGACATCTGCCGCTCTCCTCCTGAGCAACATGCTGAGACCATGACAGGTTTAAACTAAAAATCACCTGCTTCTCAGTTTTCTGTCGCTTTTAGCCATTGTCATTGAGCGCTCCAGATTTTGTAGAGTTGTGGGTTGCGGACACCTGCTCTCTAAACTGACAAGTAAAAATAATAATAATTTTAAAAAAAAAGGCAGACTTAATCTAAAGAGTTGAATTCCAGCAGGAAAACAACCCCACGGATTGAGCTGTTATGATGTAAATGTTTAGATCAGCTTTACTTTATAGTTTCACCAAAAAAAGGGGTAAACTTTAAGCTTTAGGAGGAGCCATGTTTGACTGTGTGTTTCAGTTTGGATACCTTGAAGTTGACCGAGAGCTGCGGGGTGTACTCCAGAGTCCACAGAGCCCTCACCAGACCGGCCAGCTGCTCCGTGACTTCTCCCTTCGCCGGCCGCCTCTCCTCAGCCCCCGGCGCGGAGCTCCTGCCCTGCCGCCTCAGGTCCATCTTGTAGCGCTCCAACCCCAGATACTCCGCCAGCAGGTCGGTGTTGCTCAGACACTGGACCACCGCGTTCAGGAAGCAGGTGTTGCCGTGGTTCTTCAGCCCCAGCACGCCCGGGACTTTGTCCCCGTACTGGTACAGCAGCTTCTCTCTGCCGGCGCACAGAGACGAAGACGTGCTCGGCGGGTGCTTGGCCGCCCGGTCCCAAACCACCGCGGCCGCCGGCGCCGCGTCCTCCCTGATCATCCCCGAGCTGGCGGTGAGGGTGCAAGGTGCGCCGTCTCCGAACCCGCCGTCGTCGTCCTCCGCGTCCTGCGCGTCCCCGTCCCCGAAGTGGGTGAAAGTGCCCAAAGTTTTCATGATTCTGTTCACGAAGCTTCCCACGGACTTGAGCGATTTCTTCCGGAAAAGCTTCCCGGATTTGGTTTTCCTCTCTTTGCGCTTCTCTTCCTTCCCGTCCTCCTTGACTCTGCATTGTTTCTCCATGACGGCGACCTCCCCTCCTCTCTCTCTCTCTACTCCGCCGTCGGTCCGTCCTGACGCCGATGATGGTCGCGCGAATGCAGACGCCGGATTGTCATTTCTCTGCCGGTGTCCCGGTGCGCGGACGCGCCACCATCTCGGAATCCGGACGCGGCAGCGCGGCGCGGCGTTGTTCCGCAGCCCACCGGCCCAAAGCCTCCCTCATCCATCCTCACACTTACTCGGCGCGTTCATTCCGACTCTGGCGGCGATGTCACAGGCAGCCCAGCAGCAGTGCCAACTTCTGCAGGAGAATACCAACACACACACACACACACGCTGGGGCTGTGATTGCGTGGGGCGGCTGTCTCCTCCCACTTTAAATCAACAGTGGAGATAAGAAATCCAGAAATCCCAGGCAGTTTATGTTTTATTTCTCTGTTCTAAGAAGAAGATCCAGGTTCCGTGCATGTTTTGGCAACTGGGATTTCTTGTAATAAATGAGGAATAAGCAATAATAATAATAATACAACTTTAAAAAAAAACAAAGGCTTCCATTTAAATTGAAGTGGATTTTTTCATTTTTAAAATCTAAATCAGATAAGTCCCCAATACAAGTTCATCGTCCTTTATTACTTATATATGATTAAGGGGTTAAGTGTTTTATTCAGCAATTTAGCTAAAAAAATAAATAAAAATAAAAAATAAGTCTGTCCAAAATCATAAAAAGACGTGTGTTTATTTTATGAATCGTTTGTTCCTCTTCATGCGTTTCATGGAGAGAGAGGAAAAAAACGCGGGTCAACATCTTTGAGGTGTCAAACAGCGCCTCCTACAGTCACAAAATATAGCGTCCGCCTGTTTAGGATCTTCAAAACAAACACTCTTTTCTTTGTTTTAATAATGTTGAACAGGAAAAAAAAAACAATTTAAAAAACAAATTTAACGGGTGTCATGTAAAACACAGGACAAACAACAACACACACACGCACGCGCACACACACCTACCAACTGTGTTTTTGGAGTGTGGGAGGGAGTTGCAGTACACAAAGACAACCTCTAGGAGGCTGTGCGGCGCAGTTTATCTTCCTACGGAAAGTAGCAAATGTCAAAAGGTGTGGGCGCGGAAAATGGGTGGGCGCCATTTCCGGTCTACTGAAAATAGCGTTTTACACCGGGTATCTGCAGGGCCTGACTGATCCACTGATCCGAAGCCCCAACAAGTGACCCTGAGAAAGTTTTAAAGATGGACGCCTCGTTATAGCCTACATTCACAGATACGAAGGTGAGTTTTACTTTCTTTAAACTTTGCGGCTAACTTTAGCTTATGCTAGCAGGCAACATTCTCTGAAATTTTATTGTAAAAATCTGCTATTTAAGTATCTAAACATTTCTCCTTCATTCTAATGGATAATGTTTTTACCGTATTTTCACGTATATTACGGGCTTTTATTGTCGTTGGAGTCAGAGACCAACTAAAGGGGGATTTTATGGTTTGGCTTTTTGCTTCCGTAGCCACAGCTGAACAGTAGAGTCGGGTTGTGGTAGAAGAACGGGAGGTAATTAGAGAATACGCAGCTTGTATTCTTTTCTGTCAGCAGTAGAAAGAAAAACGAGTTAACCCGGTTTCCTACTTCTACTTCTTCTATTGGCATGAACCGGCATTTGAACGCTGACGCCACCTGGTGGCTGGTCACGTACTTGTCAGTCAAACATGAAAAACATTTGATCAAAATGTGTTTCAAAGAGTAGTTTTAGCCTTTCGATGAAACTAAAGAAGTGTATTTAGTACCACATTTTAGCGGCTGGAATCAGAGGTTTATGTTTTGGTCAAACATTATGACATTACTTTCTCTGTTTTGATCAGGAACATTGGCCAAGGCAGGACCCAACTGGGATTTCTGAGCATCCCAGTTTGTTCCCATCACCGTAGCAAAACGCAAAGTGTGATTATTGTTGAGAAAGTTATAACTTGATATTCATAAACAATTCTGTTCAAATCATGTTTGTTCCTATTGATCTAGTGTGATATTCAAAATTTCCCAGACATTCAGTTTCAAAATATTTGTAAAAAATAAAGGTTTCAGAACTTGACATGAAAGCCAAAACATATTGAACTTTTTTTTTTTATGACGTTCTAATTTATTTAGATGTTTCTGGTATGTTTGCACACATCACTGCACTACTTCTGTCCAAAAGCTCCTTGCAGACTCTCCTCGCCCCGACTTGAAGACAAAAAGAGAAAAAAATAATAATCTCTAGTTTTCTCAGCCTTTATAGACAGACAATCAGCAGCCACTGAATTTTGTAGCCTTAGGTTAGGATTTCTTCCAATTGTGAAAGAAGAAACAAAATGTCTAGAAGATAAACCATCTCCAATGAATGCGTGTGTGTGTTTGTGTGTGTGAGTGACAGCAGCTGCAGCTTCAGAGAAATTTCATTAGCTAAGCCTCGGAAGAGATTTATCACAGGTTACAATGTTCTGGATTATTACTCTCATTACGGGGGCCGTGATTTTAAAGAGGGCTTATCTCTGCACTCGCCGCACAGATACGTCTAATAACACATGGGTTGTCACATATTATAATATTAAAAACTCTGGATTTATGGCAGCAATGAGCAAAAGCAATAAAGCTGATTCTCTCGCTTCCTGCTGCAGTGAGACGGGGCCAGTTTTTTTTTTTTTTTTTTTGCTTTTAGAAAAAACCTCGTTCTGCGATTCTCCTTCGTTTAGAGCAGATGATAATGCGAAGGCACACGGTTTGTTTGTTTGAGTAGGAAAACAATCCCAACCAGGAGCCCAGGCTTCAAAAAGAAGGGAGCTCATTAGATCGCGTTAGCGGAGAGAGCCGACGAAAGAGACTCGACTTGGAGTACTGCTGGAGGAAAAGTTGATGGTTTGTGTAGCGGGCCGAGCCGGGCGTTTACCTCCCAAAGGCAAACAACAATCATCTCTCTTACGTATAATTTACCGAGCCGCCATGCCACATGTTCATGTAGCCAAACTGTAATCAGGGAAAAGACAATATCTATTAAATGCTCCGTAAACAAGTGTAGCCGACATCAAGTCATGGAGATTTCCAAAACAGCGATTTAGAGATCTGTTTTTGTTCAGTCAAGATGTGTAAAAAGGTTAAAAATCCAAACACTTTGCTCGAAAACCAACCTGCACACAATTATATTTTGCACTTTATTAATTCTCTTGTGGAGCCACCAGTGAAGAAAATGTTAAGAATAACCTTTTACATAATAATGTCAGTTTTTTTTTTTTCCATATAACGTCATTATTTGAAATTTGTCACCACCACGACATTCGAATCATGATAAGAAGTTGTTCACGAAAAGCGATAAACAATATTCTGCTGCATGTTTCATGTTTCCGGAACTGGTTGCTGTTAAGGATTTGTTCTCAATCAACTTAACTGGTAAAATGAAAGTTAAATTAAAATAACAATAACAAATGTGGGACTCAAACTGCGGGCAGGAGAAGGGCAAGCAGATATGTATAGCTAATAATATAACAAGATGAAAAGTGTAGCTGTACATGGAGCCTTTTGCAAAAAGATCTGACAAAGGATTTTGGAAAAAGCGGGTCTGAGAACTAAAAGTCACAAAAGCAAAAGCGTCAAAGGATGGTGACATATTTAAAGATGAGACTTTAGAGAAGCCCACTGCAGGGCCATTTCATTGAAAAAGTAGTTTATAACAAAATAAAGTGATTAAAAAACACAAATTAAGCTTAGGAACCCAGAAGTAAGATTACATTTCAAATGGTGATTCTACATCCATCCAATGTTTGCCCATCTTTTAATTCAGGATGATTTCTACTACTCATCTGAGATCTGCCAATTGAAAAAATTCATTCGATTGAACTGGATTTTATTTAGTGGGAACAGAGTGAAAAGTGGCTGAACCCCAAACACACAATTTGCTTTTTGCAGAATTATATTTCTCCTTTTGCTGGTCTGTCACATCAAAACCCATAAGCTTCTTTTGTGGCTTTAAAAAGTCAAAAAGTGGACGAGTTAAAAGGCGACATTAGCAAACAGTGTTGATTTCTGCTGTACACACTATCTAAATAATTACAGCTCGTTTTCTCCTCCGTGGCCTAAAAGTTTAGACGTGTTATATCTATAAATGGAACCCGACTGGTGATTTGCTGCAAATAAGACGTCATTCGAAAAGATAAAGTAGGCATCAGAGACCATCTGGTAGCCTGAGTCATACCCCGCCTGCTCGGCGAACAAACACCCTGTTCACCGACAGAACAATGCCCCAACGCCGTCAACGCTGGACGGCCGCGTTTTATACAGCATGCAAAGAAAATTGGAGCCATGCCCAATAAATTGTTTATCCTTAAATATCCGTAACTCGCAGAGTAGTTTGTCTGTTTTGACTTGCAGTGAAACTGATGTACTACAGTAGTGCGTCAGAAAAACAGTTTTACTACAATAACTTTTTAACAAAAAGAAAAAGTAAGTTTAATAAAATTGTTCAAACTGCTACAAATGAATCACTGGCATCAATAAAGTAATTGGTGCCAGTGATTACGGCTAAAATACGGATTACCTAGTGTAAAAAGTAAAGATGGTCTTCATAAAAGGATCATGCGAAAGTGCTAAGTGGCTAATCAGAGGTTCAGGGAGGCTTTTCTGAAAGGACATCCTGCAGGAAGAGGAATCACGAGTGACTACAGAAAATGCCGACAGATTAATTAGCGCGACATGTTTTATAGCTATATAAAACATCTGTCTGTTGCTTTTGTGTGTTTTATGCACACTACAAATTAAAAGGACGCCAAATAACACAGCAGAACAGTTGGCTATGACCACATTAGCAGCACGGGTTTTGCTGATTATATTTCATAGCAGTTTCATAAAATGTGACAACGGTGAGCACAGATTCAGTTCAGTGCAAAACGTCACATTGAAAAACAGAACAGAAAAGCCGTGGCTAAACGGAAAAGCCCCCAAAATCAGTCAACGGCAGCAGCCTGTTTAATTTAAGATGGAGAACCGGGCGGTTTTTTCCAGATGGTTAATATTACTGCAACTTTAATCACAGACGCTTGGAAATTTCCCAGAATACATTGCACGTCTCCAGGAGTTTATAGATTATGCAGGAGCTGCTGAGCGTACAGGCAGCGACTGATCATTGTTGAAAACTGAAATGTTTCTGTCAAAACAAGAGATTTCTTCTGTTTTTGGCTCACTTGAATGTTTAAGGTCATTCGACAAATTTTGAAATAAAAAAATAGCCTGATAAAAGGATAAAAACTTTTATTAAGGTAAAAAAAGGAAAATGTCCACTAAACTTAAACACAATTGGTC